CCCCCCTCCGGTCTCCATGCTCCCAGTGAGGCAATCAGTTTGATCGAGGAAATTCTCTTGTGCGTGCCACATCGTCAGTGCCCCCGCCACCGGGCTGCTGCTAACCCCCCGCCGGCCGCCCAGTGCCTGTCCCGTCGCTCTGGAGCTCTGGACCCTGCTTGGGCAGCTGTACAGCTCCTTCATTTTGAGCATGCCCTCGGCCACCATCGGCGACGGGGCCAATTTCATCCTGCACCGGACTTCCCGACTGGGATCCTTTGCCGGGATGCTGCCGCCCGGGTGTGGCCCGGAGCAGGCCAGCTGCCCGGTTCGATGTGCTTGTGACCCCCAGCACCGGGCCAATGCCCCGGGACAGTGGCGCTGTCCGGTGGCTGACCCTCGGACCGAGGGCTCGGCGGATCCCTGCTTGCGAGCAATCCCGCCGGTGAGCTACTCATCGTGCGTGTGCGATGCCACGGTCCATCCGGTCCCGGTCCCGAGCCCGGGCACGGCCGCGGCCAACCCCGCGGCCGCGAGCCTACGCCCACCGGACTTCCATTTGGCCGACTGGGAAGTCACACACTCCGGACCCGGGGCCATCCTCTGGCGGAGCATCCTCCCCCGAGGGTTGAGCTTCTGCCCGGCCCTGCGTGCTGGTATCGCGCGGAACTGGCTCATTGCGGCGGCCGGCGTGGCACTCGACTCGGACCCGGACTGTACGCTGGAGCTTCCTTTCTCCTTCTGCCCCCCCCCCCCCCCTCCCCCTCCCCCCGGCTCCTGCCTCCGGCTCCTGCCCGGGTGTCCTGATCGTCGGCGTCTTTGTCTCACCCTCCATCAACATTCATGCATGCGTTTTCCGCCTGCGCGACGCATGCATATCCCCCCCCCTCCCCCTCCCCCGGCCGTCTCCAGCTGTCATTGCGGCCACCGAGCACTTGGTGGCCCTCTTCCCGGAGCACCCGCACTTCCTGGTCGCTCAAGCTGAGGCCCACCTCCGATGCAGCTCGGTGTGCTCGACCACGCTCTGCTCGACCCTGGATGTGCCTTTCGGTCGGTACATCTGCGAACCGGCCACCCCGGCCCCGGGGAATGGCACGGATCCTGTGGGGCCGCTCATCATGGCCGAGGATGGGTGGCATGCCCTGGAGGGCCTGCCGGCCGCCAGTGCACGGCGCGCCGCATCCATGATCCTCCAGCGTCTGGATTCCCTGTATCCCGGTGCCATGGCCGGCATCGGCCGGGTGGCCATTGGCGCGTCATTTGCCGAGGAGGATATCTTCCGGTGCGCATGCCCCTTTCCCATGGATCGCCCCTGGCAGAGGCCCACCTTCCCGGAGGCCGGCTTTGTTGCTGCCACCCGGCCGGGCGGTCGGCTTCCTTGCATGGCAGCCTTCTGGCCGAGTTTTTTTTTTTCCCTTTCCCCTCTTCGCCTTTTGTCCCTTCCCCATGCCTGGCTAATGCACGCTTCCCATCTCCCTCCTCCTGGTCTGTGGGCCGACATTTGGCTGTTCATCCCTCCCAAGTCTCCTCTCCCGGGTGTCACTCATGGACAATGGCTGCCCGGAAAAGTGGCTCGTGGCCGGGGCCTGGGCAGCGCAGGGTACTCGCGACCTGCCGGCCCTGCTGGCCGCAGTGGAGGCCCTCGCGCGGCTGACCCCCGAAGAGGCCGGAGGCAAGCTCCCGAGCGCCGGGCCACCCCCCCAGGCCCGGGTGTGTCCCCTGCCAAGCAGCCTGCTTTTGACCAACGATCCCCTGGTCCGGGCACATCAGCTGGCGGCCGCCGCGCTGGTTGACCGGGCCCGGCAAACATCGACCGATGCCATCTCCGCCGCCCGGCGCGGGGTCGATGTCAACCAGGCGGCCGCGGCCGAGAGCGTCACGGCCGACACCGAGGCGGCCATTGGCCATGCGGCGTCGGCTCGGGCCCTGGCCCCGGGGCTGGCCTGGACACAGGTGATGCTTGGTGTGGCGCTGGCCGCACGGCGGTGCTTCGCCGCCGCGCGCGCCGTCCTCCGCCACGGCGCCGGGTCCGGACTGACACTCGGCCTGACGGCCCCGGCGGCCCCGGGCAGCACGACCCACCTGCCGGTCCTGTCGCGCGGGCTCTTCCGCCTGCACCCGGGCGTGGTCTCGGCCTACGTGCGCCTGGCGTTGCACCTGACGGCCCAGACCTTCGACACATCGGTGCCCATCGAGCGCGAGGAAGCTCGCCAGGCCACCTACCATGAGAACGAGTGGCTGGACATGGACTATCTGGTTTTGTCGATGGCCCGCCAGGGGCGTGGCCGTGTTGGCCGGGCGGATCTCATCGGCCTGGCGGCCATGCTGGCCGGGCGCCGGCTCGGCCCGGTGACCGCGCTCAAAATGTGCGTCCTTTCGCCATCCGGTCGTGTTCTGCCCCATATGCGGCCGGGCCTCCTGCCACTGCCTGGGGGTTTCCTCCTGGGTGCTCTCCAACGGTGACTCACGCGTCTGGCCTCCTGGCTGTCTTTCTTTTTTTCTAGCATGTCCGAGTTTTTCGACGATCAAGATGCACAGCCGGGCCTCGGGGCACCGGTCGGCTTGTATATCATGCTCGGCGAGACGCACACCCTGCTCATGAAGCTCGTTGGGTCCGGGGTTTTGGAGCCGGTGGTCCCGGTGGACCAGGAGAATGAGCAGCCCCCGGAGGCCGATGGCTCCCGGCCAGGATCCGGCCCCTCCGAGTGGCCGAAGTCGGAAGAGGAGCACTTTACTCTGGCCCTGCAGGCATACAGCCTGGCCCTGTCGTGCGTTGCCCTGCCCGTGCCTTTTGCCTGCCCCTTCGCCCTGTGTATATATGTATTTGTTGGCCCTCCCCCATGCTCATCCCCCGCACACGCATACCAACACACATTTACGGTGTCAACCTCCCAGCCACTCGACGGGCGACCTGCGTCCGCGCATCACCGCGCGCATCGAGCTGCTCAACTCCCTATTGGCAACTCAGCGCCGGATTCCGATTGAATAGACCTCTCTTTCTTTGGTATATGGTCGTGAAAGGGGAGGGAGGGGCGGGGGAGGGGGGAGGGAGGGAGGGAAGGGGGGGGGGGGGACAAAAAAGATGGAAAGCCTGAAAAGATGGCACATGCGTCTGGCGTGTGTTTCTCCGGCTTCCCGGGGCTTGACACAGCATTTAGATGGAACCCCAGCGGATGATCTCCCGGTCGACCTCCCACTCGCTACGGGCATTCTCCGCTCGGTAGCGAGACTGAGGGGTGGGGATGGAGGGACAGAAGCACAGGAGCGTGCACATGGACACGCGTCACGGGCAAGAGGGTGGGTGGTTAGACAAGAGCAAACGAGGAGAGACATGACACAGATGCAGTGCAGGAGGGATGGGAAACAGGCGGAGAGATAGAGCAGGAGGGGGGGGGGGATTAGGATGGGCGCTCGAAGGCAGCCCGCCTTTTTCCTGTCCCTACAGCATGCACACACACACACACACAGGGGTAAATCCTCTCGGGATGCGACGTCAATGTGCAGGCAGCCTGGCAGGGGACGCACCTTCGCCGATTGGACCTTTTCCCAGAGGCGCTGGCCATCGCGACGGCTCATGGCATACGTCCCGCCAAAGCCCCACACCTGCAGACGAGACACTTCGAATGCACGGCGCGGGAAGGCCGGCAGCCGGTAGGTTTGACAAGGGGCCGGGGACCCGAAGGCGCCGGCCATCAGAGACCCGTCAATGTGGAGGAAGGGCTCGCGCGAGGTGCCCCCCGCGCCGATGCCCACGCAGTTGGCCGCCGAGGGCAGGGTCCCCGGGGGGAGGACGGCCGGAGGTGGGGCATCCGGCCCGCCCCGGGGCAGGTACGGCCCCAGGGACCCCGGCGCCGAGGTGGTGGCCTGGGCATTGAAGAAATTGTATGCATGGAAGCGCTCCCGCCGGGGGTGCGACAGGTGGAAGATCGGGCTAATGTCCACCACGAAGGAGTGCGAGGTGCCGAAGCAGGCCGGCTGCGAGGGGATGGACGGCGACCGCCAGCGGTCCGCCACAAAGAGGGCCATCTGCCGGGCCGGGTAGGCCGGCCCGGTGCCGGTCGTCTGGAAGATGACCAGCGTCGGGGCCGGGTAGTCGGTCACCCGGTTGGAGAAGGTTTGCAGGCTGAATCCATCGCGCGCCGCATCGAACAGCATGTCCACCGGCTCGGAGGACAGGTGTGACAGAGCCAGCACCGCGCGCGAGAGGTCCGTCGTGGCTTGGGCATCGGACGCCGGGGCAGCCGGCCCCCCGGGCAGGCCGGAGGATCCCGGGGGCTGGGTGTTTCGGCGGATGGCCTCATGGTCCGGGGTGAAGATCGGCGTCAGCCGGAGCAGGTAGGCCACCAGCGGTGCCAGGGTGGAGTTGTCCGAGAAGGAGCTGAAAATGGGGATGCCTGCCACATGCGACGGGGCGCGGGGCCAGTGTGTCAGTGGCTGGCCGCTGCCGGAGCCGGGGAGGGAGGAGGATTGGAGCACCGGGGCGCGGGGCGCGGCGAGGAGGGGAGAAAGGGGAGAAGCTGCAGGAGGCGCACGGGCCCGCAGCGGCACATACCGTGGACCAGGTACCAGGGCTCAATGTCGGCATCCATGGTGGTCGGGTCATCCACCAGGACCGAGTCATCATGGTCATCCGTGTCGTGGGTGTCGCTGGCCGGCGTGGCCGAAGGCACAGACTCGGCATCGGAATCGGTGAGGGTGGTGGCCGGCGCGGTGGCCGGCCGAGTGGGCCGGGCGCGCGGCGCATTGCGCTTGGAGACGGCCGGCGGGGTGGAGGGGATCGGCACGCCCAGCAGGTTGCTGGCCAGCGAACACTCAAGCAGGGTAAACAGCCGGGGGACTGCCGGGGGGGGGGGGGGGGGGCGGGGAACGGCATCTCCATGTCAGTGGCCGATCAAAAGGGTTCCCCGGCGGGAGGAAGAGCAGGCGGGGACGGCAGGAGAGACAGGGTGGAATGTCCGGGATCCTTGGCCGCTGTGTTGGAGCTCGGGCTGGTGGGCCCGAGCCTGGCACATGGCCACGCAGCACGCACCCTGATCCTGCACCCAGGCAATGAACTCGTCCTGGGTCAGATACGACCGGGCCGGATCGGCCAGCAGGGCATCCACGGCCTCCAGCGACCGGGGCACCTGGTCGGCCGGGTTCCGGGAACGGCAAACAAATTGCGCGGCCCCGCGAATGAGCACGCGCGCGAAGCCCAGCTGCTGTGGCGGGTGGCACCGGCGCAGGGTGGCCGCCACCGGCACCGGCAGGCCGGGCAAACTGTCAACGGTATCCAGCGCCAGCCGGCCGGCCACATGCTGGCGGAGGATCTCCCGCACGGACAGCATGACATCCGGGTGGAAAAGCGAGAGGGCCATCTGCCGGTAGATCTGGCAGGCCAGGTGTGCCAGCGATTGCAGCACCAGGGCCAGCTGCGCGAAGGTGATGGACTCGGGCCGAGTGGCCGGGCCCATGTGCAGCCCGGCCGGCAGGTCGTGCCCCGGGGCCGCCATGCCCGGGTCCAGCCGCGCAATCAGCCGGTACCAGGCGCCCAGGCGCTCGGACACCCGCCGGCCGGTCCCCAGCGACAGGGTCGATGGCAGAGGGGCGACGCTCCGGCCCTTGGACTTGCTCTTGGACGAGCTGGCCGACTCCTTCGGGGGGATATTGTCGCCGGAGGTGTGGCCCGCGGTGCTGGCGGACCCCGCAGGCGCGGGAATCGGAGCCAGGACATCCGAGCAAAGCAGCGCCAGGCGATCGAGCAGCTGCGGGACCGCCGCGCGATCCAGCTCGGCCACCTGGCTTTGTCCGGCCCGGGCGGTTGGCAGCTCGAAGCCCAGGAATCGCAAGATGGCCGTCCCGAAGGCCGGCTGCACCGACAGGAGGGTCTTTGCCAGGTGGCGAAAGCAGGACAGACGGTCAGCAGCGCCGGGAGGGGGGAATGGCAACCAGGCCGCATGAAAGGGGGTGGCGTACAGCAAAGAGGGCCGGGTCCACGGCAAGGGCGCTGGTGTCGGCGTCAGCCGGGTCGTGGGCCGCCTGCAGGATCATGTCCTGGGTCGGGTCGTCGACGATGCACACCGATGAGGTGGAGGAGATGCGCTGCGAGGCGGGATCCGGGGCACTGGCGGGCGGCAGGGTGTCCAGGGGCCCGGTGTTTGGAGGCGACGCCGGGCGCACCTCGCGCAGGGTGGCCAGCAGCGAAGGAACCGGGTCGAAGGGCAGCAGCCGGGCGTCCAGCACCAGCACCTCGGCCGGCTGGGCGCCGGCCCCGGGCCCGGATTTGGCCCGGGGCCCATCGGAGCCGCCAGGTGCGCCCTCCCCGGGCGACTTCTTCGGCATGATTCTCTTGAGGAAGTTCATCGTGCCTTCTTCCCGGCAGGGGGGGTGGGTGGGGGGAGATAGGTGTACGCGCGCGCGCGCGCGTGCTCACAGACACAGGGCACACGCAGAGCCCGCGGCCAGATGCGTGGAAAAAGGGGCTGGCGAGGGGGGAAGGGCCAAGCCGGAAGGGGAGCGGAGGCAAAGGCAGAGGCGCGGGGCGCTGTGGCAAGGAGAGGGGGAGGGAGACAGGGAGGGGGTCCCCGCCCGGGGTGGGGCTCCCGGCCTGCCTGAAAAGTGGGCAATCTCCCCAAGGCGCAGGCAGGCCCGGAGTGGCCAGTGGTGGCCGACTCCCAATGATTCGGCCGGCGATCGTGACGCCTGGGCGATGATGCCGGGGCGCCGCGCAGCGGTTGTCCCCCCCCCCGCCCCCTAGGTGGCCGGGTGGCCGCGGCCTGACCGCGCCTGTGGCCATACCCGGGCAGGCGTGCAGTGGCGGACCAGACACACGGAGTGGGGCCCGCGTGTGCCCCTGAAAGGCAATGAACAGCTGGCTGTTCCCCGGGGGCCGGGGCTCCCGCCGGCCCAGCCGCCGAAGGGGCAACCCGCGCGAGGCAGGCCTCCGGGCGCGGTCCCACACGCGGAAGAAGAAGGTGCAGGCCCGCCGGTCGAGGCAAGCGCACCTCCCCCCCATCGCTCCCCCTGTCCGCGCGCCCCGGGTCCCCCTTTTCTGTGCTCCTCCCGACCGCCAGCCGCTCGTCCCCCTTCCGCCCGCCCTGGATGGCTGCAATCGGCGTGGGGGAGGGCTCACGGGCCGTCCGGAATCACATGCCCACTCCAGAATACATACTGTGGTCTCGCGCGGCGTGCCGCGGTTTCAGGGGCCCGGGTCGGGGGTGGCTCGGGGCCGGCTGATGGCACCGCACATCGGGCCGGCTTCCCCCCGGCGATCTGGCGAAGGAGCATCCCGGAGCTGGAGGCCCGTGTCATGTCGTGTGCGGCCTCGGCCGCTCGTCGTGTGTGTGTGTGTGTGTGTGCTTCGGGCGCGCCCCGGCCCGGGGGGCAAGTGAATGGGCGCCGGACCGGCGCGGCCGCGGCCGCGGCCGAGCCCCCTTGCTTGGGCAAAAAAAAAAAAGAGACGAGGGTGCCAGCGCGTGCGGCCCCCGGCCGGCCCCGGTCCGGCGGCCTGCTGCATGCGGAGTGGTTCGTGAATCGATCGGCCTCCGGCACAGCAATGGGATGTTGTTTTTTTTCACCAGCTGCCAGACATCACCCCCAGGGGGAAGCAGATTCCCCCCCAGCACCGGGGGTCGGGTACCGAGCGGCGGGCCGGTGAGAAGCCCCTTCCCCGCCCGGTCCCCCTTTTGGCGCGCCTATGCGTGTCTACGTTCTCTCTCCCCCCCTCTCGGGCGCGCGTTGGCGCGTCCGCAATTGGCGGAGGGCGCGCCAGGCACACAGCGGCGAGCCCAGGAAGGGGCCAGTCTTCATTCCTCCGGCCGTCTCCCCCCCCCCCCCCCCCCCCCCCCCCCCCCCCCCCCCCCCCCCCCCCCCCCCCCCTCGGCGCCAGGCCGTGTTGATGCTGCCCGGCATGAAGGGCGGGCCCAAGGCGCGGCGCCTCGGCATCCTGGGCGTGTCACGAGCCGGTGCCATCCCCTTCCCTCCTTCTCCTCGGCTCGCCCCTTTCCGCCTGCTGTGACTGCTGGTCGTCCTGTCCCCTCCCCGGCCGCCAACAGCACTCCTCGCCTCGCCTCGCCTCGCCCCGCCCTCCCCCCCGCCCCGCCTCGCCGCGCGCTTCGCTCCCTCGATCGCCCGAGCCGGGCCGATCGGTCGCCGATCGCGTCGCGCCGGCCTCGACCCCCGCCCGGCAGCGAAGGCGCACAAGCTGGGCCTCGGCCCACTCCCCCCCCCCCCCCCCTCCTCCCCTTCACCATGCAGGCCCACCAGGCGATGCTTCCCCCGCAGGACTCCAAGCGCGGGACATACGGCGGCGCGCGGTGCGTTCCCCGTGGCCCCGTCGCCTGGGCGCCTGGATTTGTTGAATACCCCGTCGCTTGGGCCCACATTCGCCGCGTTCCTCACCTCTGCCTGTGCTGCGCTCTCCCCCTCTCTGCTTGTCGGCCCAATGATCGGCATTCGCCAGTGGCCGCCGGGCCGCCAGTCTTTTGATGGAGTCCCCAGCGTCGTCTGTCCCACCGGTGGGCATCGTCTGCCCGCCGAAGAACCCGAAGAAAACCGACGGCTCCCGGCGGTCGGTCTTCGAGGTGTTCAATGAGTCCCGCCCGGCCGGCCCGGGGCCATCCGGGCTATCCGGTGCGCCGATCCTCGCCGCGGAGGACACCCCGACGGCGATGCCGGCAACCACCATCCGCTCCCCCCCGGGTGTCATGATGCCTGGCGGCGAGTCGCCCGGCGGCGCGCACCTGCACCCGGCGGCCAAAGGCGCAGGGCCTTTGGCCTCGCCCCCGGAGCCAAAGGCCCGACGCAAGGCCGAGCCAGTGGGTAACTATGTATGTGCATGCCATCTGCGCTTTTCGCCCCCCGCCCCCCGCCCCCCCCGGGGGCTCGGCGATCCTCCCTCTGACCCTCCACCCCTTCCTCGCACCCTCCTCCCCCGCGCCCTGCCCCTGGCATCGGGCCCTCCTCGGCGCCTGTCCCCCGGTTGCTCGGCCGTGGCAGCTCCTCGGCGACCTGCTTGGCAAGGGCCAGTTCGGCCGGGTGTATCGCGGTGTCAACTCCGAGTCCGGCCAGTTTGTGGCCATCAAGCAGCTTCGCTCGGGCAAGATGGACGAGTCGATCCTCTCCTCGTTCGAGGTGCGTCACGCCAAGCCGGGCTCCCTCCTGTTCCTCCTCCTCCTCTGTCTCCTGGGTTGTTTTTTTTTCCTGGCTCCTGACAGCTCGTCCCTTCCCCCTCCCCTCCCCCCCCCCCCCCCCCCCCCGCTGCCCTCTTCCTTCACTCCAAATAGCACCCTC